TACCATCACACCTGGCTCCAATACTTTCTGCTCTTTCCTCATTTTGTCTTCTATAAACCAGAAATATTAACAGGCACTATCACCCAAAGTCACAGAATTCTCCAAGTTGATGATTCTTTCATAAAACAGTAAATAATTCCAATTAAGTACCAAAATGAAGCTCCAAACACTAGTTCTCAAGTTTGTAATTATAGTACAAACTTATGTCACAGTGAAAAAAAACAAAACACCCTAGACTCGAGCCAGGTCCTTCTGCTCCTAGCTGAATGCCATATATGTAATTCACTTCCTTCTCTTCTTCAGAAGGTCTAAATGCAGAGAAATAAATTCTCCTTCTGTGGATTGCTTAAAAAATAATGAAGCCAGCCCTGTGCCTTCTTTGTATTTCTGCAACAATGGTTTTGTCTTTTGTAATAGTCTTTTTCTATATGTATTTTAATATTATTCTAAAGGTTATTATTTTCAGACTCATATTCCAGAAAAAAAAAAAAAAGCAGCTAGAAACGCAAAGAGTCAGGAAAGAGTAAGATTCCAGGATAGTCTGGCTAGAGAAACAGAGACAGAGACAGAGATTTAATCCCCCCACTTCTGGAAAATAAAAAGCTAAACTTCAAGCTTTAGCCCTATATTCCTTTAGTGAACTCAGAATGAAAGTCATTAAGCTTTATGCATTTACAGTCTGTCTGTTGTTGCCTGGGACAGAAATGCATAGCCCAGTATTTCTTAGAGAATTGGCTCTCTGAAGCTCAAGGGAGGGAAGGAAGGAAAGAAGGAAGGAAGGAAGGAAGGAAGGAAGGAAGGAAGGAAGGAAGGAAGGAAGGAAGGAAGGAAGGAAGGAAGGAAGGAAGGAAGGGAGGAAGGAAGGAAGAGAGGAAGGAAGGGAGGAAGGGAGGGAGGGGGAGGAGGGGGAGAGGGGGGAGGAGGAGGAGGAGGAGGAGGAGGAGGAGGAAGAGGAGGTGGAGGAGGAGGAGGAGGAGGAGGTGGAGGAGGAGGAGGAGGAGGAGGAGGAAGAAAAGTTTAGCCTGATAAGATACCAGGCCCAATGTGATAACCCTGGAACAAATGAGAGATGACCACTCTTGACTCAGAGGTAAGACCATTGTTTTTTCCAAAGACCTTGGTTCTTCCACATACAGGAAGAAATGCTGCGAGTTTATGTCCTTCAAAACTTACAATTTTTCCCTTTCCCTCACAAAGTCTTTTACCTTCTCCACCAGCCAAGGGCTGCTGGTTACTTGCTTCTGAAAGTGGTTCCCGGGCTCGCTTTATGTGTGCTGCAGTCCTGGCTGCTGGTATGGGCCGCTCAGCCATCTTTTTCTGAAGGTTCTCTCTTCTGGCACGGGTTCGTTCAAGCAGTTTCTACATTTCATCAATGTTAAAACACAAGATTAGCCAAAGGTTCTGAAAATTTCTGCTATCTTCAAAAATCAACAATTGTTCTACATTTCAAAAGTGAAATCTAAGTAATTAAAATCAAGAGTCAGCAAGTGGGACTGGTGGCATAAGTCTGTCATCCTACCTATTGGGAGGTAGAGATCAGGGGAACCATGGTTTGAGGTCAACAGAACAAAAGAAAAAAGTTCACAGGAGTCCACCAAAACCAATGTCTAGGTGTAGTGATATACAGCTGTCAAACTAGAAACAGTATCCAGACTTACCCAGGCATAAAGCAAAACTCTATCTCAAAACTAACCAACACAAACAAGGCCTGGCAGAATGGCAGAGTTGTAGAGCTTTCATCTAGGAAGCATAGGCCTTGAGTTCACACCCCAGTATGGACAAAAAGGAAGATCCACCAAACAAGCATTTCATTATCAAAATTATCATTAATATAATTAATATGAATACTGATCAATATAATTAATAAGTAATGCAATTAACATAATATGAATATTAAGGGGCAATACAATGTACACGGATAGTTGTATAAGATTATAAATCACCACAAGTTTTTTCTCCTCCCATCAAAAGGATTAATTCACTTCCCCGCTTTTGAGTCTGGGCTGGCCTTGTGTGATTTTCTCTGACTAATAAAATATGGCAGAAGTAGTGGCTGAGTCTGCTGGAGAAAACAGGGCTGCACTGACAGCATCAACCACCAGCCACACAAGTAAGAACACCTAAAGCTTCTAGATTACTAAGAAACCCTACAGGATCCCAGGGAAGAACAGCAGCATGAAAGCCCAGCTGAGCCCAACACAAGCACTGTTTAATAATGAAAAGTAAAGTGCTTGTTCCAAGTCTACCTGTAAGGCACGACACTGATCCCTCCAAAGATGTTTATATATCCTGGTGATTATGTTCCTCATAGCAAAGATTAAGGGATTAAGATTTCTGACGTGGAATCTCTGTCTGGTGTAATCACAATGGTCCTTAATTACAAACAACAAAAGACAGGCAGGAAGATCAGAGTCAGAAAAGACATGTTAACAAAAATCAGAGTAGTGTGACTGGTAGCTTCAAAGATGGAGAAAGTAAAAGGACACAAATCAAAAGGGCTGCTAGAAGTTGGAAAAGCTAAAAAGGCAAAGAAACAAATTTTCCACTACAGCCTCTAGTTGGAATGAAATCCTGTCAAAATCTTGATTTTTAACTTAGTAAAGCCCACTCCTGGTCTTGGACTTATAGAACTAAAAGAGAATTAATGAGTTACACAGAGACAAAAACAAAAATAACAAAAAAACATTCAGCTAACTGATCTGATGCAATAACACTAAGGTGACAATAAAGGATAACAGTTATCCTTTCAGAAGACATTCTCCCACTGATGTTCCCACTTTCATCAGTGAGGTGTCATACAATGTAAGCTCTTTCAAAAGCACACAGAACCACACACAGGAAGATGCAGATTCATTCACACTGCCTATAACAAACAGATACAGTAGTTAGTGCAGACTGAGGAGCTAGGCCACATTTGATCTTTTAATTCCTTAATTAAAATGGAATCAATTTTTTAACTACTCTCTAAGTATATAAAAGGAGCATGAGCAAAATTTGGAAGAAAGTACAACTCTGCTCTTCTGAGGAATTACTTCTAATTTGAGGAAATGACACTAAATCAAGGTGCTTGGGTCACCAAAAGTGATTTATCAGTCCAATGCCTTCCAAAACATGTCTCTTCCAACTAACTTGGAAGTGATCAAGATCTGATCATTTCCCACAAGATAAAATCTCTCTCAGCAGACACAAAACGTGCCTAAAATATTCAGTAATGGCCATGCCCACATTCCATTCCTGTCAGTTAGAATACTTGTGAGTCAGTGTAGTTTCAGTTACCAGGAGCAATGGGTCACAACAAAAGAATGTGGTTTTGCCATTCAAATACACACAAGTATTCTCTTGTTTGCAATGGATTCAAATATACCCATGAAAAAATTAAAGATAAGCAAAGTAGGTTCCCTAAACTGTAAATATAAAGCTAATAATCCCCAAAGGTTAATAATGCTAAGGAAATAATATATCTACATAATCTTAGCTGCTCAATATATCAAGATTTTAAGGATTCTTTTGAATATGCTTTCCTTCAAATATCACACTTTCTTGAAACAGTAGAGGCATTTAAAAAACATAAAATAACAAGTAATATAATTGGGAAACAAGATATATGAATGCCAGGACAAAAAGGGGTCAGTATGTTGCATTAATGTACCAAACTAATTTCTTTCCTATGTTTGTAGCATGACATTAACAGCCTCTCAAATAGTTTTCTGTGTTCCATGAGTTTGAGTAGGGATCTGCTTGACTTTTGGCCTTTTTTAAACAAGGAACTGTATCAGAAGTTCATTTTACAGGGGGAAAAAATAGGATGAATGTAATCATCAAGCACCTAGAAGTTGGAATCAATTCAAATGGTTCACTCATGACCAATTAAGGAAAGGATGGAAAAGCTGTTATTCCAACTGCAACGGATCCAACTGTCCATTCGTATTATAAACTATGCATGTTAAACCATCGCATTACTAAGAACATTCTTTCATCTGAGATTTGTACTTGCTTCAGAATGACATTTTAAAGTAAAACAAAGTACAATTTATCAGCCAAGCAAAATGTTTTGCTTCTGTCAGTGACTAAGAACATATAGCATTGCTTTAAGAAATTCTATTTTGCATTCATAACATGTCCTTTTTTATTTCTATGTGACATCTGGTGTGTGACTAGCCCTATTCTCTAAAGCTATTAATACAAAAGCAGGCCCTGCACTTTTCTATTAGAATCTTCTAAGTATGCTTAACAAATCCATGAGTTTTCCCCAAGAAGAGTGAGATTTGGAAGCAGAAAAAAATAGATAATTATCACATCTAAATACCAGGAAACTGCAAGGGTTGAAACCTTTAATTAGTATCATAGACTTAGCTGGAAGAACTGCAGCCACACCCCACCTACCGAAGAATATATTACTACTTAATTGCAATTTTCAATGTAGGTTAGAGCCATGTTTAAGCCTATTTCCCAACAAAGCAAAACTCATGACAGTTTGAAACTTGCAGAACAGCCTACAGAAAGAGTAAGAAAGAAAAGAGGAACTGTCCTGGAATAAAAAGGAGTCAAGCCACAGCAAACTCTTCAATGTATCAATGTGCATTCTCAACATGAAGCTAAAATTACATGGATAGCTGGTGGCTCATGTCTGTAATCTTAGCTCCTCAGGAGGCCGAGATCTGAAGATCTCCATTTCTGCGGAAGGCAGCCCAGAAGTCCAGGCTAGGGAAGTGGGTAAGAAAGACTCCTCTCTCCAATTAACCACCAAAAGGTGGAAGTGAAACTGCTGCTCAAGTGGTAGAATGCTAGTTTTGAGGGAAAAACAAACAAAAAAGAGCTACGGGGCAGTGCCCAAGCCCTGAGTTCAAACCTCAGTACAGGTGTGAGCACCACATGTCCACACACACAGAAATAATCCACTCTATAAAGATGGAATCCCTCTCCTATTTTTCAGTGAGCCAAAAATGAGGAAGGTCTCGTTGGGTGATGTGTTCCCTAAACATTCATAGGTTCACTTCTTGTGTTTCTGTGAGTGTGCAACGCTTCCATCCTGGGCTGATGGTTCTGGTTTTGCACACACTAGGCTAGCCAGCCATTTGCTTTCCTTAAAGCGCCAGGCTTGGTATGAAATTGAGCAATCAGATGTGAAGGAGGAGGAACAGACTGGGGAGGCGGGGGGAATGCCACGAAGAAGGATCAGCGGTCATTGCAAAGATAGCATCGTTTTGTGCACAGATCCCCAGAGAGCCAGCAGCGCACGCGCATCACCACACCCCTCCTGCCAGCGCACGCGCATCACCACACCCCTCCTGCCAGAGCTGTACCCTCGACGAGCCCAGCCTTTTCCGTCGGACCCCGCCTCGCTCCCCAGGGCCGCTGTGGGAGACCCCTCGCTGTCAGAGCGCTGCCAGGGGTTTGTGCACCAGCGCTTTTTCTAAGACCCGACTTCAGGCCTTCCTCCCGCGGGTGACCTACAAACACTTATCCCAGCCCAGTCCGCGACCCCGAGGCGCCGGGACCCCGCACGCGCGGGCCTCGCCCGCACTGCGCACGCGCGCACACGCTCGCACGCACCGCTCCCCGCCGGGTGGGCCAGACGCTGACGGGAAAGCGAGAAGGGAAGGGACGGGAGGGCGGGGACCGAGACGGGTCATGGGGGACTGCGCCCGCAGACTTTCTCACCTCCGTGAACGGGTCCATCGCCCCAAGCGTCACCTCTGGACTACGAGACTATGGAAACGGTGGTTCAAAGTCAGGAAGACAAAAGAAGTGAGTTTGGGTCCCCGCCGTGTATCTCCGCAGAGTCCCGGCACACGGAAGTCCTCCCGCCGCCGGCTTTCCTCTCCCCGCGGCCTGTGGTTGTCAGACTCGGCCCCCCAAGGCAGCCGTTCAAATTTGAATTTCAGCGCCTGGCCGATGCGCATGCGCGCGGGGCGGGGACGCGTTCTGCCCCGCCCCCGAGCTGGGTCACGTGGTTCCCAGGCGCCCAATGTGGGCGGAGTCTCTTCCCTGCCAGACCCTGGCCCCTCAGCTCCTGACGCCGAGGAGAGAAGTGCTGTGCTCCCGCCCCGCAACTGCCTCCCAGCCCCGCTCGGCCCTTCCACTCCTGCTCAGCCCGATCCCCTCCCACCCACTGCCGTGGTTCGCTCCGGCTTGCCTTCACCTCCTAAATAAAGGGTTGGGAGTCGGGGGACTGAAGACCCGCTGGGTCTCGGGCCAGGTCTTCCCCCCCATCCCACCCCACCCCCGCTCCCTCCCGCTGTCACCGGGGGCTGCAGGCTGGAACCTCTTCGGAGCAGCTCTGGCGGGTCAACGACCTGTCTGTGGTCACAGGGAAAGTGGAGGTTTAACCTTATCAAGGTGTGTGTGAAGACTTGGCATGCAAAACCCTTGTCCTGCTGTTTTGAGTTGGTAGGCATCTCTGTGTAGCCCAAGCTGGCCTTGAACTCCTATCGATCCTCCCCAGCCGCAGGATTCCTGCCCCAAGGCTGGGATTCTGGGTCTGAGTCAGCATGTCCAGCCGGCTTCTATTTTAAATCCCTTAGAACCCGTAGTCCATTCCTTTTACATCCAATAGAAAGGCCGCCCAAAGGTACGCAACTGGTACTGGAGACGTGGAAATCATCCCATTGGCAGCCCATCTTCTGGTGTCCTCCCTCGATCAAGCTGAGTCTCATTTCACCCACATCTTCCATCTGAATCTGGGAGGACGGGGCAATACTGCAGCGGCTTTAAAAAGTCCACTCCCATCCCTTTCCTTGGAAGTTGAATCCTGTCGATTGCAATAAGCTTGATTCTGGAAAACTTATTTCTGGTCCAGACTAGACTCCACCAGAATTATGTGACCTTTGGCTTTAAGGAAATCATTTAACGATGTGTTGGTTTTTGTTTATTGGTGTTTTATTTTTGTTTTTACCTTCTGGAGTGATGGATGCCTCTGAAATTACAATTAAAATCTCTACACACAAGAAAGCTGTTCAGTTATAAACTATTTAACATAGGATTCCATGAAGTTCACAGATACAAGGTGAGGAGCCTTTGGCTCAGCTACCCTGTGCTTTAGTTTACTCACCTGTTCAGGAAATCAACTACTCTGGTTTCTTCACCTAGTAAAGAGGCAGGAGGGTCATATGAAAATCGACAGATCCAGACTCAGAAATATTCTGCAATAAGATATCTCTCAGGTGTGTGATGTGTAGAATCAACAAGTCAAAATGTGCTTACTGATGGACCAAGGGAAAGGATAATTTTTTTTTTTCAAGTGCAAACAGAAAAGTGGAGTGTATGTTCAGGGAGTGGCAGTGTGTGACTGCATCGGGAATGAGTCACTAAATATTTATGCAACCGTTGTGCCTTCCGGCTACCGCCTCCCAGAGGCTTACTTTTCTAATAAACCACCTCAACTAGATTCTAATAAAGACTAAAGAGATAAAGCACCTAACAAAGTGAACTACTCTAAACATTTAGTTTATCTCTTAGGTCTTTATCTCGGTGGCTGAACAAATGAACCACTTACTATATTCCGGGAACTATACTGCACACATATTTAAGGGCACTCTCTAGAGTACCAAAATTGTTTCCTTGGCTCCTTCCATTCTGGAACCTTGCTAGTTCATTCTTTAATTTATAAGCTAATTTACTTATTTATTATTTATTTTGTCAGTTCTGGGGCTTGAACTTGGGACCTGATCACTCTCACTAAGCTTTTTCCACTGAAGGCTAGCACTCTACTACTTTGAGCCACAACAACATTTCTGATTTTCTAGTGTTTAATTGGAGATTAAAAATCTCATGCACTTTCCTGTTAGGCTGGCTTCTAACTGCAATCCTCAGATCTCAGCCTCCTGAGTAGCCAGGATTACAGGCATGAGCCACTAGCACCTGGATTATAAACTATTCTTTTAAACCAGAGATGGGGCTTGACATCAGGATCGAGACACTGTTTCTGAACTATTAAACTCAAGGCTGATGCTCTATCACTTTAGCCACAGCCCCATTTCTGGCTTTTTGATGATTATTTGGGATTAAGAGTCTCACAGACTTTCCTGCCTGGCTGGCTTCATTTGAACTATGATCTGAAGATCTCACCCTCCCCCTAAGTAGCAAGGATTACAGGCCTGAGCCACTGAATCCTGGCTTGGAATGATTTTTTAAAATTATGTTACAAGGTGGTAACGCACACCTATAATCCTAGCACTGAAGGTGAGTCAGGAAGATCAGCAGTTCAAGGCCAGCTTGTGCTACTTAGACTCTATTGCCATGTGTAACTTAAGTTTCCTGGATAAGAGAATTTCCTACTCCTGTTTACCTTCCCATTTTCCTGGTAGAGCCATCTTGATTTTAATATTCATTATTCATCCCCAAGGAAATATATGTACTTTCATAACATCTACATATGTATTCACATTAATAGATATTGTTTAGAATTAATTTTATTATTTTAGCTATTTATTTTGTGTTCATGTATACGCTGGTATTAGAGCTTGAACTCAGGGCCTTGGGCATTTGTTCACCCTACCAGTTGAGCCATACTTCCAGTCTGGCATTTATTAATTAATTGGGGATCAGAGTCTGGAAGACTTTTTTGCCAGGTGCTGGCTTGGACCTGGATCCTCAGATCTCAGTCTCCTGAGAAGCTAGGATTACAGGCATGAGCCACCAGAGTCTAGTGTAAGTTCTACTTCCATTATACATACTCTTTGCCAGTTTTAGCTCAACATCTTTATGAGACTCATCTTCACTAATATATATTTTTGCATTTTCATTCACTTTCACTGCTGAGTTCTGTTTACAAATACACATATCATTTATATATCCATGACCCTATTAATACACTTTTGTCTTGTTTCTACTTTTTTATTCCAAATATTCCATGGTGCCATGAATACTCCCATCTCATGCAACACTTTCCTTAGGAGAATATACTTGGGACTTAGATTATTTCAGCAAGTACATTTCAAAATTCTCCTCAGGTATTATTCACAATTGGATCAGATTATTAGATCATTACAATAAATATACAGCAGTATCATTACCATTTAAAATCCTTTTCCAAATGGTTGCAAAAGTTTATACTGTGATAACAGTTATGTTGTTAACAATTCATGATCATGACTGTTAATCAAATTCCTCCTCTGGAATAAGAAGCTTTGAAATTTTTCCATTGTTTTGTGCATTTTTCTAGTTGTTGTTGTTGTTGTGATGGTGGTTGTTGTTGTTGTTTTTACTAGAGGATAGATATATCCTCAGCCCATTACGGTGCTGTCTTTTTCTTCTTGATCTACAGGGTTTTTGTTATTTGTTTACTACTTGCTGGGGGAAAAACCCTTGTTGAAGTTGTTGCTTGTAGATAGCTTTTCTTAGTTGTGGCTTGGCTTTTTGCTTTACAAAATTCCACATTTATGGAAGTAGTGATGTTAAGGTTATCAAAGACTTATTCTTCTTTAGGTTACACATTGTTTATAGGTTTTATGTTATTTTTGTAACATGTAAAAGGAGAAAACAGAACAAAATGATTGATTATTAAAAATAGGGCCAAATATTAAAGGCAGAACCCCTCTGTAGAGAGAAACTTCAGGTCAAATGACCAGCAGTCAGCCTTAGCCCCTTTACATCCTTGCTAAAAAGCAAAAATACATTTCACCCTCTCTCAAGTTTATCAAGCTGGCAGCTTTGCAGTTTACTACAAGCTTTGCTGAAGCCATCGACAACCTTGAGGCTTATCATCAGCTGTACTGAGTTGCTGTATTAGTCAGGAGCTTATAATAAAAATCACTTCTGTAAAGGAAATTTCAGTGCACCCCCAATCATGGGAATGAGTTTCTAACATTTTGAGATTTAAAATATGCTTCCCCTTCCCAAGGTTATGTTTTGACTTCTGTAAGCCAAGGGTATGTTTTGACTTTTTGTAATAATGTTTATAGCATTGATAGTAGCCATTATGCAGACTAAGTCAAAATTATGTTTGCCTATGTTCTTGTGACTCAAGGCTAAGTTTTGCTTCTGTAACCTTGCTTTCTTGCTTTAGTAAACATCACCTACATGAAACCCCTTCCTATAAAAATCCCTCATGAAAAGCAAACGGGTCTGCTTCTCCAGCTCTGCGAGCTGGCTTCCAGCCAGTTTGAGTGCCGGTGACTCCTTTCTCCAATTGTGGTTTGAGTCCCGCTGGCTCTGGGAAATGGGATGCAACAGTTTTTAGGTTTCATGTTTTCTTAGCTCACAAGAACTCCTTTTAGAGGCTGGGAAGTTGGCTCAGTGGTAGAGCGCTTGCCTTGCATGCCTGAGGCCCTGGGTTCGATTCCTCAGCACCACATAAGCAAAAAGAAAAAAGCCAGAAGTGGCGCTGTGGCTTAAGTGGTAGGGCACTAGCCTTGAGCTGAAGAGCTGAGGGACAGTGCTCAGGCCCAGAGTTCAGGCCCCACAACCGGACAAAAAAAAAAAAAAGAACTCCTTTTATACATTGAGATCATAATGATATTCTCCTGAATTTTCTTCTAAATGCTTTATGAAGAATAAGTTTTAATAACTTCATTTTTTTGTCTAGATACATTTTGGCTCTCCTCTCTCTCCCCCACTTCCACCCCCACACAGTAGTCTTTATGGTCACTATTGTCTTTCCTTTTCCCGTTCCCTGTAATTGATAAATACTGACTTCGTGTACCTGTAGGTCTGTGTTGGAGCTCTGTATTCTGTTCCACAGGTCCATTGGTCTATTTCTGTCCCAATGACATACTGTCTTGGTTGTAGTGTTTACTGATATTAGATAGAATAAATTCAGCAGAATTATCTGTACAAGAGGAAGGCTTTTTGGTTTTGTTTTTTTTTTTTTGGGGGGGGGGGGTCTGGTAGTGGGGCCTGAACTCTGGGCCTGGTGCTGTCCCTCAGCTCTTCAGCGCAAGGCTAGTGTTCTACCACTTGAGCCACAGTGCCACTTCCAGCTTTTTTTCTTTTTGCTTATGTGGTACTGAGGAATCGAACCCAGGGCCTCTGGCATGCAAGGCAAGTGCTCTACCACTGAGCCACCTTCCCACCCCCAAGAGGAAGTTTTATGTGGCAGTTCCACACTTGCCTACAAGATACCCAATCAACTTCACCCCCTCTGTCCCTAGCTCTTATCTCTTCCCCCGTTCTTAAAACAATTCCAACAGGTTCAATTATATTTCACACATGCACAGATGGTACTTCATAGTTTTAAGAAGAGAACCATGGATCTGAAGCAGAAATAACTTGCCTTGGGAAATGAGTATTTCTTCCTTCCCCTCCCATTCAAACAAGGGCAATGATTATGGCTTCTGTAGGCAAAGTTGATGGAAGATTACGAAGCACGAAATCTGATAGCATTGCTTTCCACAAGGACACTCCAAATGCTATATTTTATAGTTAATCTTTCAAAACGCATTCACACACCTTCTTAATTGACAACATAATAACATGGATATTTTAATTTTTTACAGGAAGAGAAGAGACCCAGGCCTAACCATAAGGCAGTGACAAGAAAGATTAGATGCAAGTTGCCTGGCTTAGATTATCTGGCTGAAAGTGCACATTCTTCAGGTACACTCCTATTTCCATTTATTAGAAGAAATAAGAGCCATCAAACAATTGTTCTCTACAGCTGGGCATGGCAGCACATGCTTATAATTCCAGATACTCAGGGACTAAGAAGGGAGAATGGAAAGTTGATGGCCAGTCTGGGCACTTAAGCAAGATTCCCTCAAAATAAAGAACATGGCTTATTTGGTAGAATACATACTTAGTGGGCAGAAGGCCCTAAATTCAATCTTCAATACCGAACAAAATGTTATCTCCATGTTACTGGGAATGGCTATTTTATTTATTGTAAGGTAAACTATTAATGATTTTTAGTATCATATAATGTTTTTTCCTTTTCAAGTTCATTAATGAAAATCTTTCAGATTCCAGAGTAAGGGAATGCATATTGTACTTTTTTAATATATTGGTTTGTTTCCAAAAACTAATGAAACTACAGGCATATTTCCTTTATTCAATAGAATTTTCCAGACATGAATGCAACTTTAATCATCTTTTGATATTCTCCAGTGGTTAATAAGAATAGTAAGGGTCTTCATATTTAAAAGACCAAAGTAGGAACTGGCAGGGTGGCTCAAATGGATAGCATGTCTGCTTAGCTAGTGTAGGTCCAGAGTTCAAACTCCAGTGCTGTCAAAAAGTATCTCTCTCTCTCTCTGTCTCTCTCTCTCACCCCCCCCCACACACAGAGTATATCATGTATTTATCATACTATAGCCTGTATATTGACAACTTTAAATAGCTAAATGTGAGTCCAATTGAATGCTATGACTTCCAAGATGTGTCCTATATGGTCCATAGTGAAGTCATCTTCCTCCTAACTACTCAGTTTCTACTGTTGTATTTGACATGATTTCAGATGTTCAGGAAAGTTGTAAAGGGTTTATGCATATATACATAGCAATAGAAGAAAAGATAAAACAGAGATTCCTAAATTCCATGAATGACTCATCTCCTCCCCCCTCCCTCCCCTCCTCTCCCTTTCTCACCCTTCCCCTCCTCTCTTTTTCCTTCTCCTTCCCTCCCCTTCTCTCCCTTCTCCTCTCCTCTCTACTTCCCTCTTCCTCTACTCTTCCCTCACATACTCTCCTCTCCTATCTTTTCCTCTCATCTCCTCTCCTCCATTTCCCTCTTTTCTTTTTTTTTGGGGGGGGGGGAGGAGGAGGGTCCGGTTGTGGGGCCTGAACTCTGGGCCTGGGCATTATCCCTCAGCTCTTCAGCTCAAGGCTAGCACTCTACCACTTGAGCCACAGCACCACTTCCGGCTTTTTTCTTATGTGGTGCTGAGGAATCGAACCCAGGGCCTCATGCATGCAAGGCAAGTGCTCTACCACTGAGCCATCTTTCCAGTCCTTTCCCTCTTTTCTTAACCTCTCCTCTCCTTTCTCCTCCTGTCCTTTCCTTTCCTTTCCTGTCTTTTTCCCTCCTCCCTTCCCCTTCCCCCCATTCCTCCTCGCCTCTCCTCTACCCTCCTCCCTTCATTCCTTTCACTCTTGTCTCTTATTGCATACCTATGTATTTACACACACACACACACACACACACACACATACACACATATGTATACATACATATCCTCAGAACTATTTAATGACAAAAGGGCATAAAATAGCCCAGAAAGGGGCTGGGAAGGTGGCTCAGTGGTAGAGTGCTTGCCTTGCATGCATGAGGCCCTGGGTTTGATTCCTCAGCACCACAGAAGCAAAAAGCAAAAAGCCGAAAGTGGTGCTGTGGCTCAAGTGGTAGAGCACTAGCCTTGAGCTGAAGAGCTGAAGGACAGTACCCAGGCCCAGAGGTCAGGCCCCACGACCGGACCACCCCCAAAAAAAAAATAGCCCAGAAAAAAATCCATATATACTTATGTGTCACTTAAAAATAGGACATGTAAGCTGGGCACTGGTGGCTCACCCCTGTAATCCTAACTATTCAGGAGGCTGAGATCTCAGGATCACAGTTCAAAGCCAGCCCAAGAAGGAAAGTCCATAAGACTCCTCTCCAGTTAACCACCAGAAACAGGAAGTGGCACTGTGGTTCAAAGTGGTAGAATGCTAGCCTTAAGCAAAAAGAGCTCACAGACAGTGCCCAGGCCTGGAGTTTAACCACCATGACCATTGTGCCAACATCATGAAGTATACTTCCACAAACTACTACAGCTGCAATCTTTTGGACTACATCATATATTATAGTTCATTGTTGGCTGAAATCATATGACTTGCACATACACAGTTATAGTTCTATAGTAATATAATATTTTCTGTAGGTCTGGTTGAATGGACAGATAGGCAGGCAGGCAGACAGATAGATAGATAGATAGATAGATAGATAGATAGATAGATAGAACCTAAAGCCTGGCTGGCTCCTCATTCATCTGCCTCACAGCTAAATTCTGAAACATTAAATTCTACCCAGCATGCTCTTGTCTGGTAGGCGATATCATCAGCACCCGTCACTCTAAAATATCAGCCTTACAGTTGCTCACACCTCTAAATCTCAATGCTCAGGAGACATAGGTAGGAGGGATTTCAGTCTGAGGCTGACCTCACGCAAAAAAAACCAAGGCAGAAGTGAGAGCTCCTGTCTGAAAAATAACTAAAGCCAAAATGGGTAGTGAGAGGGAGGTGGTAGTGCTGGAAGCCTGGCTCAAATGCTAAGAATGCTTGCCTAGCAAGCATGAGGCCCAGAGTTCAAAAAACCAGAACTTCCAAAAAGCAAAACAAAACAAAACCCTGGTGGCACCCAGTCTTCTTCTGTCAATCTGTTTCTCTTTCTCAGTCTTACTAGCTCCTCCCACAAGACCATACATGGACAAAACTCTTCCCAGTCTTCATAATGGAGTTTGTTGATTTTTGTTCTGAAAAAGAAAAAAAAATTCTTTTTTTTTTTGCCAGTCTTGGGGCTTGAACTCAGAGCCTGGGCTCTGTCCCTGAGCCTCTCTGTGATCAAGGATAGTGCTCTACCACTTGAGCCACAGAACCACTTCAGGCTTTTTCTGTTTATGTGGTACTGAGAAATCAAACCTACGGCTTCATGTATGCTAGGCAAGCACTCTATCACTAAGCCACACTCTCAGCCTTCCCCTCCCCAAATTGTTTCTTATTAGAGGTAAATTTATACCAAAACTCCAAGAACTACTTTATGAACAGTTAATTAAGTAAATGTCTGGCCACAGTGCACACTGTATGTCCTGCTATGTACCTTGTAATTGGAACAGATTAATATGAATGTTAACTAAGCAAGTTACTTACGAAATAAGAAAAATAAGCTTGGTAGCCTTTACATAAACATCCCAATGCATACAGGAAGTACTGTGATTCCTAAAGATGTCGAAGTGATTCAAGACAATGCTGCTCCATGACAATAAAAATGACCATTAAAAAATGACCATAAAAGGAAAATTCATTCCATTGGGTCAGCTACAAAGGCATTCTTGATTATTGCTGATTAGTGTGTGTGTGTGTGTGTGTGTGTGTGTGTGTGTGTGTGTGTGTGTTGGTCCTGGGTCTTGAACTCAGGGCCTGGCACTGTCCCTTAAGACTGGTGCTCTACTACTTGAACCATATCTGTACTACTGGCTATTTTCTGGTTAACTGGAGATAAGAGTTCCATGGCTTTTCCTGCCTGGCCTGGCTTTGAACTGCAATCCTCAGATCTCAGCCTCCTGAGATAACAAGCATGAGCCACCAGCTCTGACATTATTTGAAATTTTTTAGATTTTTTTTTTCTCTCAGCATATATCAGTTATTCAAAGGGGGGATTATTGTGATATATCTTGGGTGTGTATGTGTGTGTATGCTGGTCCTGGGACTTGAACTCAAGGCCTGAGCACTGTCTTTGTGTTTTTTGCTCAAGGCTGGTGGTGCTGTACCACTTGAGCCACAGTTCCAATTCTGGGTTTTTGGTAGTTAATTGGAGATAAGACTCTCATGGACTTTCCTTTCCTGTTTGGACTGACTTCTAATTGTGATCTCCAGATCTCAGCTTCCTCGAGTAGCTAGGATTACAGGCATGATCCATAGGTGCTGGCGTATTGTGACATTTTCATAATGAATACATGAACCCCATCAACCTACGATCTCTATCACTCTCCCTTGCCCCACCCTTTCCTTCTGTTGCTTGAAATTTTAAGTTAGTATGATTTTAAGAAGTGTACTCAGCGTCCATAGGGAAATTACAAGTTGTTAAAGGCAGCTTTAATAAATTCCTAGGTTGTTTTTGCAATTAGTGTTTTGAAAATGCATGTTTATGCATAAATATTTATTTCTAGTCTTTTCCTCGAGGAAAAGGGATGCTTTGTCAGTTAAGATCAGCATGGAAAAGTCACAGATGGGTCCCTTCAAGAGGCCAACTCCTGCCCGAGGAGCAGTAGCAAGGCCCTTTAGGCTCCTTGGTGCAGTCATCCTTGGTTTCACATTCAGTAGAATTTCTCTTTGGCCATTAGAGTAAGCAAGAATATAGACATTGCTGGGTGTTTATATTTGCTTTTTGTTTTGTTTTGGTGGGTTTATTTTTTTCTTTGATCTTTGGGTACTCACAGTTGGTTGCAAATAAAATTCTCTGACTAAAAAAAAAAAAAAAGAAAGAAAGAAAAGTAGATGTTTAACTGAAAATCCAATCTGTCATTTTGTCTGTAATAGAACAGGTAGAAAAGAAATTCCTCCGAAGGATGGAATTGTTCATTGTTCCGGTAGAGTGTAAAAAACAATACTGATTCAAAAGCAGCCAGTGGGCCAGCTGCAGATGCTGTACCCAAAGGAGCCCAAATCTGGCACAAAATCAGTAATTAACAAAGCGAAGGGAGGTTGATGGGGATGAATAATTGCATAGCTTAGAATAGTAAAAAGCAGCTGATGACATTCCAAGTTTTATAAAACGAAGATAACCCTTTGTATTCATGAATTTGTTGGCAATTTGTTGTTGCCACTGTAGCACATGCAGAATACATTCTTGAATATTTTGATGGCATGGAGACACACACCATTATACTATTCTTATTAGTAAAGATATTTAGAGATCAAAATGATCCACAAGAAAATATTGGTAGACTGAATATAAAACTAGCTACAAAAGTGAAGAATGAGGCTTAACATGGTGATACATACCAGCTAATGGAGAGGCAGAAGCTGGAGGATTGAGAGGCGAAGGCCAACTCAGACAGTAAAACTATATCTGAAAAATAAAGGAAATAAGGAAAAAAGCTGATAGGGTACTTGCCTAGATATACAAAGTCCTGGGTCCTGGGTTTACTCCTCAGTATTGAAAAAAGAAAAAGTAAAAATGTAAGGAATAAAATAATTATTGTAGGTGAGCTAATGATGGGGACATGCATTTGTTGGAATTTGATATATATATATATATATATATATATATGTATAATTTGCAAACATATAAAATCTTCTCTGCTAGTCAGTAATTTCCTTGATGATGTCATGTCTTTTTATTATATGTATTTACTTAGGCAGTACGGTGGATTTGAACTCAGGGCCTGTCACTTGTTAACAAGTACTCTGCAACATAAGTCACACACATCAGCCTTTTTGCTCTAGTTATTTTCTTCTTCTTTTCTGTTGGTGGTACTGGGATTTGAGCTCTGGGCCTCTCAAGTTCTTTCTCATTTTGTTTGGCCTATTGGTGCTCTACCACTTGAGCCACAATGCCAGCACTGTTTTATTATTCATTAATGCTTATTTTGGAGATGGAATTTCACAGACTTCCCTATCTAGACTGTCCTCAACCATTGATCCTCTGGAACTCAGCCTCCTGAGTAATTAGCATTATTATAGGTTTGAGCCACTGGTATCTGGCTTTTTTCAAATAGTGTTTTGCTAACTTATGCTGGTCTTGAATTTTGATCTTTCTCATCTCTGCCTCCCTAGTAGCTGGGATTACAGGCATGAGTCACCATACCTGCTTCATATTATTATGTCTTTTCATGTATTTTGAAAACATCAAGTATACTACTATATAAATACTCATGGAATAGAGAAAGTAACACACATCTTGGTAATTTCAAAATATAATGATCATGGGGCTGTGGACATAGCACAGTAGAGAGTGCTTCCCTACCAGCCCAGGGATTTGATGCTTAGGAACAAAGAAAGGGAGGGCAGGAAGGAAGGAAGGAAGGAAGGAAGGAAGGAAGAAAGGAAGGAAAGAAGGAAGGAAGGAAGGAAAGAAGGAAGGAAGGAAGGAAAGAAGGAAGGAAGGAAGGAAGGAAGGAAGGAAGGAAGGAAGGAAGGAAGGAGATTAGAAAGGGAGGGAGGAAAGGGGAGAGGACAGGAGAGAGTGAAATTAAGAATGCTTTAGGGGCTGGAAAGGTGGCTCCGTGGTAGAGCGCTTGCCTTGCATGCAATGAGGCCCTGGTTTCGATTCCTCAGCACCACATAAAGCAAAAAGAAAAAAAGCCAGAAGTGGCACTGTGGCTCAAGTGGTAGAGTGCTAGCCTTGAGCTGAAGAGCTGAGGGCAATGCCCAGGCCCAGAGTTCAGGCCCCACGACCGGACCCCACCCCCCAAAAAAAAAGAATGCTTTAGTAAAAGCATTCAGAGTAAATGTCAGCACAGTCACAGAACATCTAAATTCATAACATCTTTTAAAAATATCCTTAAGCTTGCCAGGCACTAGTAGCTCATACCTGTAATTCTAGCTACTCAGGAGGTTGAGATCTAAGTATCCTAGTTCAAAGCCAACCCAGATAGAGAAGTCCATGAGACTTTTGTCTCCTGTTAACTAGTAAAATGTGGGAAATATTCCTGTGGCTTAAGTGGTAGAGTGTTGGCCTTGAGCAAAAAAAGCAAAGTGAGAGTAAGAGGCCCTAAATTCAATCCCAAGAAAACACACACACACACACACACACACACACACACACGATATTTAACAATTTTTGGAAGTATCTTTTAAAAACTAGAATTTGAGAGATGCACTTAAGTCCAACTTGGAAAACCAGTTTCGGAATTTAAGGAATGTAAGGAGGCTCCAGGCCTTTAGGACTTGTTGCTAGAGTAACTAACTGCTCATACAAATGTTCAGCACTGTAACTAGCCTAGATCAGCTTTCCATCCAGGCCCTTCATATCATCTATGCTCTTTCTGCGATCATTTGAACACTCATAATCCTCCTATTGCTCACTTATTTATGAACTCACCGATATTTGCTGAATGCCTTCTTTTTTTTTGTTACTAGTATTTGAACACAAGGCCTTGTGCTTGCTATGCAGGCACTCTATTGCTTGAATCATGCCTCCAGCCCATTTTTTAGCTGTTTCAGATAGTCTTGCTTTATATGCAAGCTAGTCTAGACTGAATTTTTTTTATACTTCCCACATAGCTAGACAATGTGTGCTAACACACTCAGATTTTATTTGTTGAGTTGAGGTCTCACTTTTTTGCCAAGGCTAGTTTTGAACTTCAAACCCCTCAATCTCAGCCTCCTGAGTAGCTGGGAATATAGGCATAAGCTACTGTATGAGTCCTAACATGCACTATTCCTGATGCTCAGATTATAGACATGAACAAACCAAAATCATTGCACTTATACATCAGTCCTGCATTTGTGGTCCAGTATAGGAGAAAAAAATCAGTGCATGTGTGGTAATTTATCCTAGGAATGCATACCGCGTATAGCCAAATCATTCTATGTGATAATAAATTAGAAAATGTACACTAAGTGCTAAGAAAAAAATTACGCCATAGGAAAGGAGTAAAATGTATTTATTTTTCTAGTACTGGAGACTGAACCCAGGGCCTGTGTCTGGTAGACAAGCATTCTTCTACTTGAGGCATGCCCACAGTCCAGGAGTGGAATTTTAAGTAACATGGCCAGAAAAGTCCTCCCAGATTAACAGCATTTGGATTAGGTTCCAAAAGGAAGTAAGAACTCTTAGTATCTGGCAGAAGAGCATTCCAGGCAGAGAAAAACCAAATTGCAAAGGCCCTGAGGGGAGACAGTGCTGGTCATAGTGTATCTGAAGCAGGGGTTCCTGGGAGATGAGGTAAAATAGGTGCCTGGAGGCTCAGGCATAAAGTTGTGCACAGGTATTAAAGGGTTTGCAGCAGAGGAGTGACATGTGTGATGCATCATTCTGGCCAGTGGGTTTTGAGTACAGAGTAAGAGGGGAAAAGCTCTAGGGAGAGGAAGACTTCCCCCAGACTCCCTCAGAGTTAGGGAGACCTAGAGGCTCCAAATACAGTCATACTACAGAGGGTGGTCCTTTGAACCAGAGTCCTACCAAGTGACTGGATTTTTATTTAGTTTGAAGATAGTATTAGTAGTGTTTTTGACAGTTGGGATTTTTTAAAAAGCAAGATGAGGTTATCTACTATGTGATAGTTAATATCCAATGATTTCTCCTCATTGGAAAAGAGGCAATCTATCACAAATCCTCTGTCATTCTTAGAGTATTCCACGCCTCATAGTGAGCTTCCTTTCATTCCTGAATTTGAAAACACACCAATTATTTCCACATCCTATGTCAATCTTGAGAAAGATGAAGAGTAACTGTGGCTTTCTGAAAACTGCCAGCACTGCCTCTTGAGTTCCTTCGTGGCTCTAAGCCCTGCCAGGCTTTCCTCATTTCCCTTCAGACTCTCAAAACCTGAAGCAAACACTTACACAGTTACCTCATTTCCCACAGGTATTGTAAAAGATTTCAAATTTCATGAACCTTAAAGTGAAAATGGATGTAATACTCTGCCCTTATGCACCATTCTACAGTTTGTCTCACACTTTGAATTTCCTGTGGTCAACAGCAAGCTGAAAATATGAAACAGAAAATTCCAGAAATTCCCAAGTTTTAAACTGCGTGCCCTTCCCAGTAGCATGATGAACTCCTGAGCCATCCATCATAGCAGACAGGAAACATCGCTTAATCCAACATATCAATCCTGCATATTGCTACCTGCCTGTTAATAGCTACAGATTTCCAGATCAACTGTCAGTGATTGATGTTGGCCAATTATTACAGTATATGCTGCATATTCTGTTGCAATACTACTTTTTGTTATTAATCGTTTGCTGTGCATAATTTATTAATTAAGCTTTTACCCAAAGGGTGTGTGTACAGGAAAAAGCAGTATCTATAGGGTTAGATGTCCACCATGGTTTCAGATAACCACAGGAAAGTCTCCCTTGTGGATAGACGGGCTACTGCAATAAATTGAAAAATAACAGCCCCAACAATTGCACAATCTCAAATTTAAAAAGCTGTATTTTAGATTCAAGGAGAGAATGCTGGAAGAGTGTCAGCTGATGTTTTCTGTCTCTCCCATCCTTATTCTGGTGGGCTCCACCTGAAGTTGTCTAGCTGTAACTAAAGGAGACTGGGCGTGCAATTTCACACCATTCATGCCATCGGAGTTAAGCTCCCTGAATTGAGTGCAGAATTGGGAATAGTCATTCAAATACTTGGGCTCCGCCCACAAGCCTCGTTATCCCGGGCCTGCGCGGTGCGCGCTGGGAGTTGTAGTTCCTCCCTTTACGAGCCCGGCCTCGGCCGTACAGCGCCCCTAGCGGTGCGCATGTTCGGCATGGACGCCGCGCGCGGACGGAAAGCGGAGCGCGTTTCCTAGCAACGGGGAGAGGCGACGTCACGGTGGCGGGTTCTAAGCCTCCCTGCCAGCTGGAAGCTGCGGGGTGCACCTCCGGGCTCGAGGGTGAAGGGGCGCTGCTAACAGCCCGGGACCGCCGGGCTCCGTCGCCCGGCCAGCAGCGCCTTCCGCGTGTCCTCGCCACCCGCCGAGGCCTCGACCCCGCACCTGGGGAGCCCACCGGCCCGGCCGGCCCGGGAGGGACCATGCTGGAGTCTATCCGTGTGACTGGTGAGTGCGGGAAGGGCGGCTGTGCGGGGACGTGGCCCGGTCCGTGTCGGTGGGCGCCGGGCCGCAGGAGCCTGCGGGAGCCCGCGGGAGCCCGCGGGAACCTGCGGGTCCGGAGCTCGGCGGGGGTGTGACAGCGCCCGTCCGCTGTGGTGTGCGGTGCTGGGAAAGCGGGGCGCCGCGGAGACCCGTACGGCCTCGCCCCGCACTGCACGGCCCGGCACGGCCCTGCACCGCCCCTGCACCGCCCCTCATCGCACCGCACCGCTCCTGGGAGAACTCGGGTGCCCCTTTGTGCTTCCTCGCTAATCACTTTGAATTGGCATTACGTTATGTAAAGCACGGGCGGCGCTTTAAACCTCAGAAAGCTCACTTGCCTTTTGTTATTTTTAAATAGAAATGCCACTTTTTAAAGGTCTGATATATTAAAATAATTTCCTAGGTCATTTGATTCTGCCGGAAAGCATTTCTGCAAGATAGATTTCATAATGAAGAAAACCTAATCTTCAAACGATGTCAAACTAAGCCAAGAAAATTGTAGCTCCAGAACATTGCAGTAGCAATAGAACCAATTTCCTGAGGGTTAAAATGTAAAAGCGAAATTTGATTGCAGTGAAAATATTGATGACTTTAGTGTTGTTCACTTGGTAATTGGTTTTATAAAATGCAGAGCTGTCTTTGTGTAGTCAGGCATTGCTGTGATTTATCTTATTGTTATATCAAAACAAAATACAGCCAGCCAAGATCTAAGATGCAGCTGAAACTAGCGAGACACACACACACACACACACACACACACACACACACACACACCACACACACACACACACACACACACACCACACACACACACACACACACAGAGTTAACCTATAGCCTTCCTGAGAGCCATTGTGTTAGAGGAAAATAATGGTAAGATTCTATCACAATGCATGTTACTAGATTTATAAATCAGTTGGATTGAAATCATTTTTCCAGAACATGATACTCATTGTAGAGAGAATATGAATAAAATAATAATAAATTAGATATTTTCATCAACTAGGCTGCATTACAGAGTTGGTCTGATATTTTAGTATGTAGTTAGTTGGAAGTTTGAATTTTTATTAATAGAAGTCCCCTTAAATAGAAGACTCATTCCCATTGACTTAATTCTCTTCCCATAATTTAGTATTAGCACCCTTCTCAATCCAACTCTGTGTGTTGCATACCTGGACAGATAATTTAGCAATGCATTTCTATCATTTAATGGAAATCAAATATATTGTTATTTGAGTTCAAGCCCCTTTAAAAATAATTGACCACGTCTGTTTTCAAAATAGCTTCTCTATTTCTTTTACACAGTACTTGACAAATTGAAATAGCTGTAAGGCCCTGTGCTCAGTGTTGCATGAAATACCAGAACATTGATCCGGACTGCCAAAACCTTTGTGAAGTGATGTCAGTCTGCACCATGTCCTCCTCTTCCTGGCTGTCTCTCAATGTTCCTCCATGTTCCAGGTGCCCACATCCTTCTACTTAGTGAAAGAACGAATTGTGTTAAAAGTACATATAGGAACAGGCTCCCTTTTTTCTGCTTTTAAATAGCTGTAACTACATTCTAGTTATTTTATACTTCCAAGCTGAAGCAAGTAAATGCTTCTGAAATCACTTCCTATGTAGTATTCTTTGCTTTCAACTTAATCACGATTTAATATAATCTAAATTTAGCGGGGCTGTTGATTAGAGGAGTAGATTGAAACACAGACATAAACTGTACATAGCTTGAAATGAAGCAGAGAAACAGTAATGGCTTCTTTGCCACCTTCCTTCCTTCCCTCCCTCCCTCCCTTCCTTCCTTCCTTCCCTGCCCCCCTCCCTCCTTCCCTTCCCTCCCTTCCTTCCTTCTTTCCTTCCTTCCTTCCCCCCAACTCTTTTCTTTCCCTTCCTCTTAATAGTTTGACTGTGTTGCCCAAGATGGTCTAGAACTTGAAATCGTACTGTCTCAGCCTCCCAAAAGCTACGGTTACAGATATGGACTGCCAAGCCAGGCTTGCTATTATTGATTTATTTTCACTTCTTAAAAAATTTAAAAAATGTTATTATCTTTAAGTAGTTATAGAAAGGAGCTTTCTATTCAACACATGAGTTTTTGAGTACAATGCATCTTGATCAATGTCACTGTTTCATCCTTCTCTCCCATCTCTTCCAACCCCACATATCCCCTCATTTATTCGTTTTTAGGAAATGTTGGCAGTCCTGGGGTTTGAACCTAGGGTCTTAACACTTTCTAGGCTAGTGTAGTCCTGCTGAGACACATCTTTAGCCCTGATTTGTGCAGCTTATTTTTTAGTTAGGGTCTCATTTTCTGCTCAGGCACAAACCTCAGCCAAGATGCACCTACATTTAGGCTCCTTGTTCATCATTGCTGGAATCACAGGTAGAAGTCACTATGTACATCTTTTTCTGGAGATGGAGACTCTCAGACATTTCTTCTTAGGCTGGTCTCAAACTGTTGTTCTCTTAATCCCAGGTAGCTGATATTACAGGTGTTAGCCACTAGTATCTGGTGCTCATAGCCTTTTAGAGTTTACTACACTAAAGTCACTAAAATGTGGATTCTTTATAGCAATACTATACTTAAGTTGAAAATATAAATTAATGGTTCTGAATATTCCCTCATTCACATTATTCCATGGGTGTTTCTATAGGAGTGAAATATCATATTGAAAATAATACAATAAGTTACCTGACAAAGACTGCTATGACCCAGTGCTGTTTCCTGCATTTAACATTGATTTTTGAAATCCCCACACCAACACTAACAAGTATTACTGTACCAGTTTTACAGGTAAGAAAAAGGAGATCACAGAGAAGTGAAATGACTTGTTCAAGGTTACAGCTAAGCAGAGCAAAGACTCAAGTCAGACAAAGCCATGCTTTTAACAGCTAGGAAAGGCAGCATATGGTTATGAATGAACACTAATTTGACACACAAAAATATTTCATTTTAGAACAGGGTACTCTAGAACTGGGGAGCCTGAGGGAGGAGGCTCATGAGTTTGAAGTCAACCTGGGATACATTGTGAGACTTGTCTCTAAAAAAAGATCTCATTTCAATATCAACATTATGTGTTAGTTTACTCACAGTACTGACTTTTTCATTTTTTCTCAGTCAAATATGTTAATAATTTCTGCCCCTGAAAACCATATATTACTTGACTATAAATTTGTTGTTTGAAAATTGAAAAGTAGGATCTTTGGCATGAGGAATGGTAGAGCACTTGCCTGGTAGGTGTGAGGCTTTGGCTTGATCCCCAACACTGAGGAAACAAAATCATTAGGAGTCACCTAGTTTGGAGGGTGAATAATTGAGACATATTGTGCAATCTCCTGTCGGGGATTGGTAGAGAACACGAAGGATGCTATACAATAGAGAGATTTTTCTGAGCAAAACATAATATAGGCACATTTGAAATACCACTTAAAAAAAGAAGACATACTTCACTTATTGAGTGACAAAGTCAGTTGGAATACATGGTCATGCTAATTTATGATTTTCTACTGGCCCCTTCTGTTTGTGATGTGAGAATAATGTGCTATCTGGAAATGAATCGCCTTTTTAACGAAGGTATATGTTCAAATATCCTGGAGACAGCCATCTTCTGAAGGCTAGCATTGAATTTGTAGATACGTAGCCATTGCCCAGCATAAGATGGATGTCTGTAGCACCCACTGGGCAAATTGTACCTCTTCCCAGTTGGATAACCCTCAATATTTTGATTTCTAATACCATAAACTAGTTGTGTTATTTCTGAGCTTCATATGAATGGAATTACACAGCACATTCTCTTTGATCTGACTTTGTTCAACACTATCTGACATTCAGCAATGGTCATTGTTTTTCATTGCAGTGGTAGTATTCTGTTGTATTAATGTACCATAATGACAGATGTTATATCATGTGAGAGTTTTTTAAGTGTAATTTTATTGTTATTAAAGAGTGTTGTAAAGAGGGATTATCATTTCACAGTTCAGGTAATGCATACATTTCTCTTTTGGATAATGTCACTCCTTCCTTTGTTTTTCCCCAGTTTTCCCTTCCCACCCTTGCCCAAAAGTTGCATAGTTAATTTTCCACATAATGTATACTGGATACAATGATTGCATCTGTTCATTCTTCCTCCTTATATCATTTGAGTGTTTTGTTGTTGTTGTTGTTGTTGTTGTTTTGTCGGTCGTGGGGCTTGAACTCTCAGCTTGGGTGCTATCCCTCAGCTCTTCAGCTCAAGGTGAGCACTCTACTGCTTGAGCCACATTGGAAAGTCTCACGGACTTTCCTGCCTGGGCTGAATCCTCAGATCTCAGCCTCTTGAGTAGCCAGGATTACAGGTGTGAGCCACCGGTGCCTGGCCTATTGAGTGTTAATAGTATACTTAAGGGGAGAAACACTTGATAAAATTAAGGGACTTATCTTATTTGGAAATTACATTTTATTTTTCCCTCTCTTTGTAATTAAGCAACGTATAGTTTTATGGTGTAGAATGTCTGATTTTATAAGATTAGTGAATCCTGGAAGTTGCATTTTAGGCTGGGGGTAGAGAACCTGCTTAGCACGAGCAGAACCCTGGGTTCAGTCCTCAGAACCACTGCCCTCCCCTCCTCCTGGCTCGTTTCTAGGCCAGAATTTGTTGACTAGTGTTTTTCCACCAGGATTTGTTTCTGGTGATCTACCTTCCAGCCAAGGACCTCATAATTACTGTGAAAACTGGCCTTTCTCCAGATGTGAAACACCGGGTTTAGCCACCAGTGTCCCCTTGCCTCCATTCTTTCAGAAGAACATGAGGCACCGATGGGTTTAACGATTAGATTCCTGTTACAGAGAGGGAATTGGAATGGTTAGGAGGGTGGCATGAATACTGGCATCTTTTTTCCTCTTCCAAGCCTTCATTGTGTCCACTCCAGTCTATTTACAACAAGTGTATCCTTTGAGAATTAATTTTAATAGTATGATTTAACTTTTCCCCAGTGCATGTTGCCATGAGGCACATAATTTCTTTGGTCACAATTTATTTGCTCCCAGATTTTTAATGAAACTGATTGCTGATGGCTAAAGTGATAAATGTGTTAAATTATAGTGCTTAATTGTCTACCCCAATGTAAGAAATGATTATTTTAAATTGCCTTATTACTTTTCTTGGGGAAAGTGAATTACACTTGCTCCAAAGAAAACTGCTTAGGTTTAAAATTTATAATTTTTCAGGGAAAGGAGTAGGGGGTTCTTTAATAAGTTGTATTTGAAACTGGGAATCTTAGGAGCTTTTTATTCTCTCTATATGTTCAAATGCATTAGTCACAAACAGTAGTATTTAATAGTATTCAGTATTATGCAAGGGAAATGTGATAAGCATGCTTGAGAAACAAACAATCCATGTGGGAGACTTGCATGAAGGACTATGCTCCACATGTCTGGCGCACGGGGGACGGGTAGCACTTGGCAAGGTTGGCCTGTGAACCATCCGCTTTGGTACCAGGAAACTTCTCTGGTCAGCAGATGGAGCTCAGCTTCCAGCTGAGCACTGGCAAGGTAGCTGAAGTGCCTCAGCGCTTGAGGAGAAGTTCTGTCAGGCTCCCCTCTGCCTCTTCTCCTCTGTGAGGGTCTGTGCAGGTTGTTTTAGGACCTGGTAAAAATTATCCTGGCTGTGGAGGTTGTTTGAGATGGGGAAAGGATGGATTTGGAGGTTACTTGTGATTTATGACAATACAGAATAAGATCTGCTCTTTGGTAATTACAATATTATAAGTCTTCAAGATCAAATGCTTTTAAAAAAATACTACTTATTGAACTGAGAGTTTGCACTACTGCTTGGCCATTTTGCTCAAGGCTGGTGCTCTACCACTTCAGCCACAGCTCCACTTTTGCTTTTTGCAGATCTTGGCTATTTGATCCTAGGATCAAATTCTTTTACATTGACTATTCAACTTTTAGAAACCAATTTCCATTGGTTTTGATTTGGTGTAACTTTTCCCCTTTTTCTTCAGAAGGTCAGGTGAGGAAAGAGTTTGAATCACCTCTTCTACCTTTTGGCTGGTCCTTGTCTTTACGCTACTTCTCTAAGAGGCCTGTGTTACCCTTATTCTTATCTCAGTTCTTTTGCTGTCTCCCGTTCCATGTCCATTTTAGTCGTCTTTCACTATACTCTCATCTTCTAAACTTGTGTAATTTTAGGGGTGTCGACATGGTACCTGGGTTACAGCCTGGGTCCCCATGTTCTTTGCTTGTTTGTCTTGCCTGTCTAGTTTTGACTATCACTTGGTGACACTTAAGCCTGCAGCCCCTGAGAAACAGGACTGTCCAGTATGTAATGAACCTCTTATTCTTGGATGATTGAATCTTCCACATCTTCAAAGTACTCCTTGTACAATCCACATTCAGTATGACCCTGTGCAATGCCATACAATCCATCTTCAGTATGACCTTGCACAATGCTATTCCTTCTCTCAACCTGCACATACAGGAAACATTGAGCCCCTGTGAGTTTATTCATCAATACTGTTTTTCAGACAAAAGGATTCTAATGTGGCATGCTATCCAAGGAAACATTGGTAACAGGACATTTAGGTGTCATGTGTGTTTGGGTTGTTTATTTTCTCCCTTTGACCTGGGACTGCTACTTCACCCTAACACTATGACTTCTGGGCTTTAGTAACTAACATTTAAAACAGGGCTTCTGTTCCTTAGCACCATCACATTTGACGGTGAGCAGCTTTGCATGGTGGCACCTGTCTTGTGAAGGATATTAGCATGGTTCCCAGCTGCTGCCAAACATGCCAGTAGCCCCTTCCCAGAGTGACAGCCTGGTGTCTAGATACTGCCCAGTGTCACCCTCAGTTGAGAACCACTGGTCCAGGAGCTTTCTGCTGTGTTTATGCAGAACTTTCCTCATAGAAATAGAGCAACAGTTTATCCCAAGTGGTTTGAGAATGACACATTTTTAATTTTTTTATTGTAAAAATACTGTACAGAGGGGTTACAGTTACATGAGTAATGAGTACATTTCCTATTGAGCATTGTTACCTTCTCCTTTGTTTTTTCTCCTACCATCCCTTCCCTCCCACCGTTTCACCCCACCCCTCCCAGAAGTTGTAAAGGTTGTTTTCAGCATAGTGTCTTGTACATCATTGTTATAATGGGTCAACCTGCTTATTTAATCATTTTGTTATTTCCCCTCCTCTCCCCAAATTAGAAAAATGTATATACAAGATGCAGGGCACTGGAATCAAATACAGTGAAAACAGGTTATACCGTGGGGGAAGAACATACCAAAGAAACAAAACAATCACATTGTACATTATAAATACATTAAAAACAATAGCAAGAAAGAAAAAAACCACTTGTGTCCCTATCTTGGGGTTCATTTTGCTTAACATCATCTTATATGGTCATGTGTACATAGCTTTTGACCTTTTCTGCTTGCCCTAGACATATATTAGTTTTGCAAATAAGGGAAACCATGGGTCCTATGTTTGTTTGGGCCTGGCTTACTTCACTTAATGTAATTTCTTCCAAGTCTTTCCATTTCCTAACAAATGGGGCGATGGAGAATGACACATTTGTAGGTGGGCGTTGGACATCCACTGGCGGGACTTCGGTGCTTCTCCAGGTCAGTAGGGGGAAAGGCAGTTTAGAAGTGACCTGGATGCCCTGAAATCCTTGCCTGAACTTCATCTGAGTCCCTTTCTGGCGCTCTTCTGTCTCTGAACTGTAGGTGGTTGTTGCTCTGTCACCATTTGTTATACATGCTTGGATTATTCTCACTTCATAGGAGAGAGACAGCTGACTGTTGGCAGGAACAATATGTTTTTACAGAGTCCTTTATATATGTCTATCAGAGCCGTGTGCCAATGTACATTTACAAATGTACACTCAAACTTGATAGTAGTTCCTCAGCAATAGTAGATCACATAGTTCTCAACCGGCCTAAAGTGTGAGAGATCTAAAGACAAGCCCATATTTACCTATGCCTTATCTACCATAGGTCTGTGTTATAATCACAGTTTTTGTCAGACTTGCCAAGAAAAAACTTTTCTTTAGCCTTAACCTATAGCCTAGAACTATTAAGAAAATCAATCAGTTATTAGTGAGTAGCATTACTGAACAGAGCAGGCTTGATCATAAGCATATCATCTGCTGAATACTAAAGATGGCTTTTGAGCATTATTCTTCAAGAGTGACCTGTATATAAAATGCCAAGACTATCAACATGGTACCTGCCATGTTACTTTGATATTAATAATATTAAAATCTGTTCTTTCTTTGAAATTTATATTCCTTGGTAGAGTGGGATATGCAGATTACTTATGTATATTATCTCGTACCTATATAATGTGAAGCTGAGGATTTTATTTTCTGGTGGTATGGTACCATACCAAACTCAGAGTCTGGTGCTTGCTAGGCAAGTGCTGTATCAAGTTAACCACACTTCCCAGCCCTTTCTTTGCCCTGGTTATTTTCAAGACAGGATCTCACTTTAAGCCTGGGGGCCTATTATGGTGCTTCTACTTGTATTACTTTGGCTCTCTGGGGATGACAGGTGCACACCATTGTGTCCTGATGTAGTGCTTTCCCTGTGGCTAGGATAACAGGCATATGCCATTGTGCTTTCCAATTTGTTGTGATGGACTTTTATGCTTAGTTGGCCTTGAACTTTGATCCTTCTATCCCTGCCTTCTAAGCAGTATTACAAGCTTGAGCCACTTCACCATGTCTAGCTTAAAAAATATTTTAATTGTTATTATAAAGGTGATATACAGAGGGGTTACAGTTACATAAGTCAGGTAAAGCGCATGTTTCTTTTCAGATAGTGTCAACCCTTCCCTCCCAGTTTTCCTTCCCATTCCTACCCACAAGTTGTATAGTTCATTTTTAACATAGTGTCTAGTGAGTAACACTGCTGCATTTATTCAACCTATGTAACTACATTTACGTAACCCACTTTATCCTCCCAAAGACAGATAAATGAACAAATAAGATAAAAAGAAAAGAAAACAAAAAGCAACACATTAAAAAAACTTCTGTTTCTATTTCCTGGAGTTCATTTCAATAGATATTTTATATGATCAGAGTCATATAGGTGTTGTGCCTTTGTGTTCCTCTCCTAAAAGCATCTTCCTTTGGTCTCACTGTGTGTGAATGTCTAGATTCCTGTATAGTTTATTATAGTGTGTGTGTGTGTGTGTGTGTGTGTGTGTGTGTGTGTGTATACACAATGTCCCATTGTATTTTAGATTTAGCTTCTGCATATGAGAAAAGGCATGTGCCGTTAGTATCTCTGAGCTTGGCTTGCCTCACTTAACATGATTTGTTCTAGTTCCATCCGTTTCCCTGAAAATACATAATATTCTTTCTAATGCTTGCCTGGATTTTTATTATTTTTGTTTTTGTTGTTTTGTTGGTTTTTTGTTTGTTTTTGTTCCAGTCCTGTGGCTTGAATTTTGAGACAGGATCTCACTGAGTAGCCCAAGCTGGCCTTGAACTCATCATCTTCCTTTCTCTATGCCTGAATGGAGCTGAGGATTTTGATAAATAAAATAATTGTAATAAATAATTTAACAGAGGTCTAATCATGTCTTGCATGACCAAAGTTTAGTCTTTTTAGTCCTTTTAGTATTTGAAACACCATTCCTAGAGATTATTATAAAATTATAAAGCTTACAGAACATTCAGAATACTTTAATATAATAAACAATTTCCTTCATCTGGTATCTTTGTTATTTCTTTTGTTTTGATTTTGTTTACTAACACAGAAAAACTTCACTGGCCTGAGCAAGAACTTGCTAAGAAGTCTGTTCTAAGTGCAGAAGAATCATTGATCCTTGACAGCAAGAGAAACTTTTCACCTTTATCCTGTGGAATTCTAAAGGACATTTTCACAACTGGCACTAGTAGTTACAACGTCCTGCTACAGACCAAAGAGGAGAAAAAGTATTTACAAAAGTGGTCTTCCTCTATCTATTCCAAACGATGCAGAAAGCCTGGCAAATCACCTAGCTCCTCTTGTAGCAAAGATCTTCACAGGGTGAAAGCCGAGGAGCCCGTGACAAGCGATGGTACTTGGTACTGTCTGGAAAGGCAACCTGGTGTTTGCATCACTGCTTCTGTGTCCAGTCCTGTGAGACTCATGCATGCTATCTCTCTTACAGGAAGCAGCATAGGACTGCCACCTAAAGCCAAAAACAAGGTCAAGCAGCACCATTCCATCCCCCTTCCAAAGCCAAAGCAGCTGCAGCCTCAGCTGTCTAGAAGCTTTGAAAAAGGAGACGACTTTTCTGGAAAGAAATTTTGTATATTGACTGCTATAAAGCCAATCAACTTAGAGAAAGAAAAACTGAGGTTCTTCAAGTCGGATTATACCTATAATCCTCAGTTTGAATATGCCAATTCTGCTCTGCCAAATGTGTTAGCCAAGCACGGCAATGCATCTAACCGGTTTCTCAAACAGGTAAAATGCCACTTCAGTAGTAGTAGTTCATTATATGCAGCTAAAGCCATTATCCACCACACTCTAAGAAAAAAAAGGCATTTGAAAATCTTCCAATTACTTATGTTACAACTCTCTCCCAGTCAGGTCATATAGATATGTGATACAGAATCTCCAGATGAGAGGCAATGCCTACATCAAAACTACTTTGCACCTATGACAATCTATAGAGACTGTTAAGGAAGGATACACCGAAGCCACTCTATTATGACTGAGCCTCAGACTCTGGTTAACAGTTTTGGCTTGGGAGTTGTAACCCATTATCAAGCCCCTAGAAGACCATCGAGTAGCCCATATTGTTCCTGTTTTGTAGCTGATTTTTTAATTCTTTAGTTGGAACATGTGAGCCATGGTTCTTCCAAGACAGTTCATTCCCAATTTGCTTAGTTATATTCCTGTAGATAGTTTGAGGACTCAAATGTGGTTCTTGGCCATGAACTTGTTAATGTTTCACTAAATTTATTAATATCTAATAAATAATCACATATTTGAAACAAAAATGAGAATTAAAGCTGGGCACCAGTAGCTGAAGCCTATAATCCTAGCTACTTAAGAGGCTGAGATCCGAGGATTGTGGTTGCAAAGCCAGCCCAAGCAGGAAAGTCCCTGAGACTCTTATCTCCAATTAACCACAAAAAAAGAAGTGGAGCTGCTGCCCAAGTGGTAGAGTGCTAGCCTTGAGCACAAAAGCTCAAGGATAGCAAGCACCCAGGCCCAGAATTCAAGCCCCAGGACTGACAGAGGGGGAGAAGAGAGAGGGAGGGAGAGAGGAAGAGAGAGGGAGGAGGGAGGAAGGGGGGGAGGAGAGAGAGAATTAGTTTCAAGCCAGATGCCTGTGACTCATGCCTGTTAATTCTAGCTATTCATGGGGCCACGATTTTAAAAGATCTCAGTTTGAGGTCAGCCTTAGCAGAAGAGTTCTGTAGACATCCTCTCCAAAATAACCAGCATAAAACAAGTTTGGAGGTGTGGCTCAAGTGGTAGATGGTAAGCATGTTCAAACCCTAGTAATGAAAAAAAAATACCTTCAGAACTAGCAAATCATGACATAAATGATAAGAATAATATGTTCTAGTTTGTTCCATGTAGACCCTTAGCACATTTTTTTAAAAATATTTTCCAGGGCCATAATAAACTTAAAAACTTCACTTAGGTATTTGAGGACAAATTGGCTGGTGCTTGCCTGTAATACAGAAATACAACATCAAAAAGGCATAGCTCATGTGAGTACATGAACTTTGAACAGGCTTTCATAATCCATTTACCTCAGGCTGGCTCTGTCCATGCTTGAAATGTACTACTAGGATAAGTAAAACAGTACTGTTTCATTTGCCTGTGCTGGCTTCCCTAGTTTAGCTTGGTGCTGATGGTATAATTTCTTGACCTTAGTGCTAGCAGATTCTTTGCTGTTATTGTAAATGTCATGGAATCTGACCAGTCTTTTAAAGTCATTCTGTATAACTTATTTTAAGATTCAAAACAATTGGCAGTTCACAACTATAATCCTATAAGCTGAGTTCTGAGGATCACAGTTTGAAGCCAGCCTGGGCAGGAAAGTCTGTGAGACTCTTATCTCCAATTACTGAAAAGCTGGAAGTGGAGTTGTGGCTCAAGTGGTAGAGCACTAACCTTATGCAAAAAAACTTATGGATGCCGGGCGCCAGTGGCTCACGCCTTTAATCCTAGCTACTCAGAAGGCTGAGATCTGAGGATCTTGGTTCAAAGCCAGCCCAGGCAGGAAAGTCCATGAGACTCTTATCTCCAATAAACCAATAGAAAACCAGAAGTGGCGCTGTGGCTCAAGCGGTAGAGTGCTCACCTTGAGCTGAATAGCTGAGGGATAGCACCCAAGCCCAGAGAGTTCAAGCCCCACGACCAACAGAAAACAAAAAACCTCATGGTTAGCATCTAGGCACTGCATTTAAGCCCCAGGACTAGCACACACACTCACACACATATGTACACATACACACAAATTAATGATTGTAAGCATGCATTTATTTTCCTAGGTTCTTTTGTTAGAAGAAATCTTTTCTATGGCTTATTTACCTTTCAATGAGCATTCATTTACTTTTTAAAATACTGTGATGAGATTGTGCTAAAAAGATTGTGACTCAGATCGAGATTTAGTAATATAAAGTTGTGTTTTTTGATGGGAATGGTCAGTTTTAAAATAGTGATTGCACATTAGGCTTTATTACTTTTCACATGTGTAACACAGAATAAAGAAAATACTTGCCGGGCACTGGTGGCTCACACCTGTAATCCTAGCTATTCAGGAGGCTGAGATATGAGGATCGAGGTTCAAAGCCAGCCTGGGCAGGAAAGTCCATGAAACTCTTACCTCCAATAAACCACCAGAAAACCAGAAGTGGCACTGTAGCTCAAGTGGTAGAGTGCTGGCCTTGAGCTGAAGAGCTGAGGTACAGCGCCCAAGCCCAGAGTTCAAGCCCTATGACCAACAAAAAAGAAAGAAAGAAAGAAAATGCTTAAGTTTTTTTTGTTTTTGTTTTTTTAAAAATATTTATTGTGAAAATACTGTACAGAGGGGTTACAATTACATGGGCAAGTTAATGAGTACATTTCTTATCAAGCATTGTTGCCTCCTCCTTTGTTTCTCCTTCCCATCCCTTCCCATCTCCCCTGCCCCACCACCACGCCAAATTTGTAAAGTTCGTTTTTCCACGTAACAACTTGTACATCTCATTGTTGCAATTGGTCCACCTGTATCCCTATTTAAATGGTTTGTTTTTGCCCTTCCCCTCCACAAATTATACCAACATCAAATACAATGAAAGCAGAGGTTATACCGTGGGGGAGGGACATAGCTGATGCCTGTAATGCCAGAACTGGGGCAATGGATGCAGGAGGATGGTAAGCTAGACTTATCTGCATAGCAAGATTTCTCCCCTCAAGCCCCCCAAAACCAAACAACAGCAAAAGAAAAACATCCTAAAACAAAAGAGAATTGCTAAAGGAGGTTATTGTAATAGTTAAATAAGACAAAAAAATTTAACTGGAAGTAAAATACCCTCAGTAGACCTTCTTGACATACAATTTCTTTGAGGGAAGATTATAATTGTACTAGAATTAATACATATATAGTGTTGTATCTTTGCAGAGCTCAAACTGTCAATACCAGATACCCTCTCTCCTTCTGAGGGTGGTACAATTTTCTGTTGAGCAAACTACCAACTTACGGATACCCTGAAGTGATAAGGATTTTTTTTTTAAGTCTTTTTTTTTTTTTGGTCCAGTCGTGGGGCCTGAACTCTGGGCCTGGGCGCTGTCCCTCAGCTCTTCAGCTCAAGGCTAGCGCTCTACCACTTGAGCCACAGCGCCACTTCCGGCTTTTTTCTTTCTGCTTATGTGGTGCTGAGGAATTGAACCCAGGGCCTCGAGCATGCAAGGCAAGCACTCTACCACTGAGCCACCTTCCCAGCCCAAGGATTTTTTTTTTAAGTTTCCTGTATTTCATAGAAACATTGTGTACTGGTTTGGAAAAGTAGAGTCATTTCTTAACTTAGTGGCCAGAAAGGTTTTCTTACAGATGGAAATACCCCAATCAGATTGTATGTCCTTGGAAAGGAAGGTCTGACCTTGATGACTCAGTGGAAGCTTTGTGGATTTGCCTTTGAAAACTGTTCCAGGTGCATCCTCAGATGCTTATCTAAGTGGGTCTGTCTGTCCTAGGAAACAGCTTGAATAACCATCTGTTGGTCAGCAATCGGTATGCAGTGGTTTACAGTCGTCCAATGGCACTTACACACCCTGCTGTGTCCACACTGCACACTGCCCTGACAACAGAGAATGCAGAAGGGGCCTGAAAGAATAGGTTCCAAGGGACATTTTCTTTCCTTGTTGGGATTTGATACTCATTGAAGACGTACTCTTTTGTTTGAGATCTGTTTATTTCCTTTTTCTGCATATATAGAATATAATTTTTTAGATGTTTTAGTTTATTTTTATTATAATCTAATCCTGGTCTGTGGTTTATGTTATAGAAAACTTGATTATTAGTAAGGGTCTTTTTGCTGTTAGAATCTTTCAGTGGTGCACTTTCTACTACCTGTCATTGCATTAATCTTTTATTATAGGTTTGTGTTTCTTGTTTGTCTTCACTGCATTGACCTCCTTGATACGGGTGTGTGTTACTTTACTGTTCCAAAATCTGGCACAGTTCCTGGCACTGATTGACTTTCTCAGACAAGGCTGAATTTCACATTCTCTGGTTTCTGTGTGCTTTGACAGTATCATCTCCATTGCCTGGATTGCCCTCTGTTCCTTTAGTTCCTTACTTCCATTCACCATGTACTGTGATCTCACAGTATCTTATGTATACTCCCAGGAAGTATGGCTACATGTCATCTTTGCCATTTTAATGGTACGAGAGAAACTTAGATTCCAAAATACATAATAGTTATTCACACATAAAAAGTGATCATAAAGGTGAATGAATGAATATATTTATGAATGCTAGATAAATAAATGGTCCTTTTTTCTGGGGTGTTAAGATTTGGTGAAACAGTTTATAAACAGTGGGCCTAAACTTTGTGCCAGGGATCAAGATTAGCCTGCATATATGTTTTGTTTGGCTAGCATTGTATTTATTTTTTGAATAGAATATAAAGGTGCTCTTTTGTTGCTTTTCCTAGAGGTCTTATAACCAGGAGCTTTACATGTTGAATTCTGCTTGCAGCTGAAGAAGGTATTTGACCACTGCTGCAGTCAGTGCCCTGTTGTTCTGTGGCTACAGTGCCTTGAATGGATCCCTAATGATCAGCTAGAGCAGTCACAAATCTTTATTGCCATCAAAAAGCAAAATTTACCACAGAAAAAAAACTTCTTTAGTATTTGGAATTTTGCTTTTCATTGTAAAATCTTAAAGAAATAGCATGTGAGTGTTGTCAGCTTATTTGCAATGAACTTTCTTAGACTGTTCTGAAGGACACTGTCTAAGA